CCTGTGTTGTGTTCTGTAATTCTTTTTATACATATATATGCATATACATATATACAGTATATATATATATATATATATGTAAATAAACCAGCACTAAAATCAAGAAAGATGGACTCGGTTGTTATTCAGATCTGTCCAAAAAAAGAACTGGGGTATTACATTAGAAACCAGTGACCTTGGGACTGAGCACCATAAATAGCCTATGGTACATTTTTACACATTAATGCTGATTGGTTTTACCTTTTTTATTTTTAAATAAATTTGTAATTTACTATCACAAAAAAATCACTTTTTGTTATGAAATTTAATGCAGAGATTGTATAAAAACTGAAGGGTACAAACCTAAAAATTTTGACCACCCATCAACCAAAGTCTAGCATTTTCTGAATATTAAAAAATATTTATTTAACGTAATTTTCTATCTGGCACGTAACATCACAAAATTTATTTTATTTTTATTGAATTGGTTACATTTTTTTTGCCTAATAACCAAATTTATTCTTAAAAGCATACAAATGTGTGTATTTGTAGAATCTAAACTCCTCTTCATGTGCTCCACCAAATATCTACAAATATCACAGAGGTTCTAACCTTGGTGTCCTCAGCAGTAGCTGCAGCCCTGCACTCGGCCAGTGAACGGTTCAGTCCATTCCAGTTTAATATGTTGACGTTATGCTTAGATTAAATGCCACTTTCAGCAAGGATTTCAGTAAATACACAAAAATAACTGCTAGTTGTAATCTTTAAGATTTAGCAGCCTTGCCTTTTTTCTGTCCTTCTGTTCGTTCTTTCTACCAGTTTACTTGACATCATTATAGGCAATAACAGCAGCTAGTTCTGCTGCTTTTGGAACTTTTAAAATTTGTAGTATTAATCAATCAAGGATCAAGGACAGAGGAATGATCATACGACAATTGAGGAGCAGCCTAAGAGTGATTCACTCCACATTGACTTTGAAATCAAACATAAAAACAAAAGAGTGTATAGGACTATATGTGTGTATGTGCAATGGCTACAGCATTCAAATGTTTATTTTCAGTGGCTGAGAGCTGAATTACAACCCTGTTGAGCAGTTTTATGAGTTGACAATTGATTTAAAACAAAATTCTACAATTTCATTATAGAAATAGACGATAGGAACCATTCTGATCCACACGCAAGTCTAGACGGTGGCGGTAATGCACCTAATGTTGTTTGCCAACCGCCATTGCACAACAGAGAAAGAAGAAGAAGAAGAAGAAACAGAGGAAGAAGAGTTTAATATTGGTCAAGCTCCAATCATGTGACACGTCAGCGCCGTGTAACGTGGAGACGTAATAGCTTTAGACTGATTGGGTGTTCATTCCACTCATAGCCGTAAGTAGTCTTAGAAGAGAAGGAACGGGAGTGAAGGCTAATTAATATTTTCATGTGTTGTAGTCTAGTATTACGCAGTGAGCTATCTTAAATGAGACGTGTAATTGTATTCGTGGATGGTTTCTGTCAACATAAGGTAAGATTTCATTAAGTGTGCTCCGACGGAGCATTACAAATGCAGTTTAGCCAGCCATTTAGCTAACGTTATCGGACGAACCAACTAAAGTTAACGTCAAGCTAACTTAGCAAGCATTAGCATCTAAAACTAATGTGGTTGTTTTGCTAACATTAGCAACCTACCATGGTTGTGATTTTACCTTTATGTCGAATTGGTAGACTTTTTATGTGGGAGTAAGTCAGACTTTGTCTGTCTTAGTATGTTGTTACCTGCTCTCCTCGTGTTTTCGGGTGATCGTTATAGCTCTTTGTGTTTGGTTTATTCTAACATTACATTGGCATTAAATAAAACAGGTAGTTTTTAATTTTCTAGCTCTGTTTCCTGTTTATTACTCAGAAACTACTACACCTGTCTCCAGGTAATTATTATAGCTCTTAGTGTTAGGTTTCATTTATTACAGTATACTACCCCATTACCTTCTTATTACTGAGTTGGAAATTAAAGTGGTACCAATTTATTTATTTTTGTTTATGTATAGTGTTTCTTGCCTGTCATTGTTTTTCAGCTTAGATTGGCAAGTCAGGGGAGGACAGTGAACTTACTACTGGATAATAATAATCGCATACATTTCCATATTTCCTGATTTAGGATTACGAATGTCGCTAACACTGACAGCCATGAGTAACAGCACAGTGACCAGCAGCCAGCAGCAGTGGTCGAGGTCTGGGCAGGCGCCGTTGCCTTCCAGGGGCCCCTATATCTCAGTCATCACCAACAGGTCAGTTCTGTGTCCACTTCATATAATTAAGTCTGACTTCTTCCTACTCCATTCAAACATGTACTAGGTGTAAGCAAACTGATTTTGGATTAGCATTGGTTGGATATGTGTAATTATGTGTGTTGTTGTCATTTGTTCATTTGTTCTGTTCTGCATGTTTGAAAGAATCAATCAATCAATCAATCAATCAATTTCACTTTAAGAAGAAGAAAGAGAATGACCAAAGGCATAGTACCATTTTGTTTGGTTATAACTTATTTATTTGTTTATTTTGTATTTATAGTTTTGGGACGATTTTAGCAGTCTGCTTGGCATACAGACAGGTGGCAAATTGAAGGATAAACCTGAATAAATGAGTGATTTCTTCTCCTTGTGACTTATGGACAGGAGCACAAGGGTGTGTGAAAATGATGTGATTCATATGCTATGACCCTCACAGTTACCACATCTTAACCCGTTTTCATTGTGCTGCTGAAATATTTTGTGCCTGTGACGGTAATTTGTGACAGGTTTAGTAAATGTCTCCCTTTATGATGGTTTTTCCTTTAATTTAACACTGTTTTAATATACTGTACGTTGAGACCCTGCTTTCCTCCCATCATGTTGTTGCAGTATTAAAAATGAACCCTGTAGGTATTTTCTAAGGCTCCTAACTTATTTTGCATTGTATTGTAGAACCACCAACCTTGTTATCCGAGGGGCTATGCTGTTCTCAGTGGGTGTCTTTCTGGCACTGGTGCTGAACTTGCTTCAGGTGCAGAGAAATGTCACCCTTTTCCCCCCCGATGTCATAAGCAGTATTTTCTCTTCAGCTTGGTGGGTGCCGCTCTGCTGTGGCACAGCCTCAGGTATGTGAACTCAACCTCCGTGAGTGACAAAAAAAACTGTTTGTGGTTTTTTTTGTCTTTACGTTTAAGTTACTGAAAAAATAAGAGAGAAATGTCCCGGTGAGGTTTGACCCTAAGATGAAATGTTCAGAGAGGTGGTTTAGAATTCTGCCAAGAAGCCCTTTCATGTAGCGTGAGTACTAGCAAGCAGACCAACCAACCAACACGCACTGCAATACTTTACCAAACATCGGCAAGCAAGTACATTTAGCAAGGAAGATTCTGAGTCCCTGCCTAAAGGAAAATCTACAAGTGAGTGATGATTTTAAACAAAATGCCACAACCACCAATTTGAACCAACTGAACCTGGTGATAGTGAGTGATTATTTGACGTTTATTCAGTGATTGAGAGCTCACCTATAATGATTTTAATCAGTATAATAGTTTAGATTGATGTTTAAAAGTAGCGGTTGTTGATTCATTTAGTTATAAGCCAATCAAATAGTGATTGTTGATTCTGATATTTTATGTTGTTGCTTGCCACTATGCTGTAACTTTTTTTTTTTAAATCTATGTAAAATTCCAAAAAGGTTAGAACTCTCTCTTTATTGAGTCAGCCTAATCATCATTATTATTATTATCCTTATGGTTTTAGACTTTGTAGGTAGTGATGTTTAAAGCTATTTATGATGGTTATTACATAAACTATAATAGGTAGGTAGAACGTTATTGATCCCACAGTGGGGAAATTCCAGTGTTCCAGCAGCAGTAAAGGACAAAACAACATGACACCATAAGAATAAACACCCCACACATATCTTGAGAAAACAAGATCCAGGTACCCAAAATACAAGTAGTTTGAAAGTGGTTAACCTCCCAAAAGAAAATCAGTGATGATTGATAATTAACATTAAATTACTGACATAATTTTCAGACAGTTGCATCAGAAAATAAACTAGTCATCTGTTTAGTCATTATACCATATACACCGTAATGTGAATGTCCTATCTTGGAAAATAACTTAGGTCAGATAAATACTGTGCAAAGCAAACATGGTCTTAAGTGGCCAGTGTCACGGCTTTTATGGGTTATTTCAGACTAAACTTAACACTTCCTCAAAGAGCCAGAGTATACTGGTTCATAAAATTTCTCAGTAGAATGACATCTGAAGGTATAAGGAAGCAGTTGCCTATAACTGCAGGTTGTTGTTATTTGGGAGGTTTTGGGGTCTTGTCCTGCATTAATGACATGAAAAAGGGAGGTCTGCAGGGAACTGTGTTTGCAGGTTCATGGCAGTCAATTACTGAGTGAATATCTCAACCTCAAGCAGTGTTTGGAGCTTTAAATATGTTTCAAATATTCACTAAGGTGGCCTTAGTGTGAGAGGGTAAGCTCAGGAAGGGCATCCGGCGTAAAACACGTGCCAAATGTCAACATGCGAGTTGTCAGTGTGACGATTTGCTGTGGCGACCCCTAAAAAACAGGAAAAGCCGAAAGTGACTTTCTTTAGTGTGAGAGGTTAAGCTGTGTTCCTATGTCCAGGGGTTGGCATAGTGCGGCCTTCATACACAGCACTGGCAGCAGTGCAGATATTTTAGCTTCTAAAGGTTTTAAGCAGGATTGTCCTCTCTAACTAATCAGAGATTTTCAATTATTTCTGCTTGTTTTGCAAGTTTTGTTGCATTCTCCCTTCTTTTAATTTCATAACGACAAGTATCTGTAGAGCTGGGCAGAGCGTGGAAGAGCTATCTGAATGCCTATTCACCAAAACAGTACCACCAAGCATGTCAGTGGCATCACTGCATGTTAGTGAAAATTGGTTGTATTGTCTTTTGTTTTTCTGCTCTGTTTTTTCCGTTTCCGCTTTCTCCCACCCAGCGATGATTGGGCTGTTGTACCCCTGCATCGACAGCCATCTGGGTGAGCCACACAAGTTCAAGCGAGAATGGTCCAGCGTGATGCGCTGCGTGGCTGTGTTTGTGGGCATCAACCATGCCAGTGCTGTATCCTTAAAGCTTTATGTACCCGTTGTTCTTTCTAACCTTTGGTGAGAAAAACAATTGGCCCGTCTCAAATTTTAATAGGCTGCAGTATTTCTCTACTTTGATTGGCTATGGTTTAAATGTAGTGTAATCAGTGGAATGCAATTTATGAATTGACTACCTAGGTCTAAGATAGAGTTGTACATGTAACCATGCTGCTGGGCTACAGCATAGCTACAGTATGTAAATCACGTTTAGAGCTGTTAGCCACTGACAACCTGGTCCTTGACTCTACCACTGTCAGAAGGTGGACTTTGCCAACAACATCCAGCTGTCTCTGACCCTAGCAGCCCTGTCCATCGGTCTGTGGTGGACATTTGACCGCTCCCTCAGTGGCTTCGGCCTGGGAGTCAGCATTGCCATGTTAGCAACACTGGCTACCCAACTCCTGGTTTACAAGGGAGTCTTTCAGTAAGTTCTGTCAAACCTACTTTGCATGATACAGTGTTGAAACAAGTTGATGAAAATATTGATCTGTATCAAATAGGAAATGAAATTGATCTCATGATGATTTTTTCTCGTTATTATGAAGTGTGTATTATTCAGAGAATCAACTCAATGAAAACATGAAGTTGAAGGAGTTTTTATTTTAATCTTAGAACTCTCAAAATGTAAGGAAATTCATTTAAGCATGTCAGTTGTTTTAAGTGACATTATGGATTGAATCACTGTAGAAATTAATTCGGAGAGATCTAAAAATATAATTTGTGTGTCTTTTAATTTCAATTGCACTCCTCATTAATAAAAAGATTTATTGGCACGCCAGTTCCTTTCCAGTTTTCGCAATGCCTGCTTTAGGGCACGAAGTTGTGAGATCTAAGGGAATGTTAAGCTCAACAGCACTGTGGCTCCTTGTCAGCCTGGCTACAGCGCCGAGAAGAAACCTGGCCTTGTTCTTATTTTCCTCTATCAGTGATGAATAATATCCAGTTCTGGCACTATGTTATTAAACTATTTTTCTAGGCTAAGAAAAACTCTTCTAACTTAGTGGAGCGCCACCTCCTTTCCAGTTTTCGTGATGCCTGCGAGCTGTACCATGGGGCCTCCTCTGTTTCACTACCTTCCTTTTCAGAGGGGCAACAGTATCAAGTGTCGTATGCAGGGAGGCTGCAGCACTATCAACAAGACAAGTTATGGATGCTGTGTCAGCATCCATACAATTATTGACTTGTGTGGGAGTAAAGTTAAGGTGTCCTCCCTCCACTGCATTGGCACATATTTACAGCTGTATTATTGACAACTTCAGCACCATGTTTTTTGGTGGTTTGGATCAACTGGAAATTATGTCAGTTGTCATTAATTCTAAGAGTTATGATATGTCATTACTCAAACATTATTGTTGGCATGGTCAAGACATTTATCTATATTTGTAATTTTTCTATTAAAGCTGAGATATTTCTAGTTCAAGGGAAATTCTGGAATATGTTCAACTAAATAATACTGTCTCAGAATTTTTAGGTAAACTGGAGATCTGCAAGGATCAGTTTCAGGCCCAAATGTATTTATTTATTTTCTACATGAATGATCTTGGTTTAATCTCAAAACTGTTAAAATGTGTACTTTTTACAGTGGTACCAATTTTCTTTATTCTGGAAAACATCTGGTTTGTGTGTTGAATACAATGAAAAGAAAAAACTGTTTAAAAAGGGCTTTGTCTTTGATTGTTGCACAAGCAAAAGTAATAATATTCATAATGGACTGATAAATAGAGAGGTTAAAACTAATATGCCATGTTGAAATTCAAAGAGTAAATGAATTTAAAAGTTTGTGTGCTATTATTGATCACTAGTTGTGCTGGAAACCACACAAATATGAAACCTAAATTGCCAAAATAAAATGCACTTTTGTATAAAGTGCAACCGTTCCTGCTTTTGGCCTCCTGGACCGTAGTCGAGTGGCGCAGGGGAGGCTGATGTCTGCTCCAGGGCCGAGGCTGCAGTCCGCCTCAGGGTTATCTCCCTTCACCGTGGTCTTTAGCAGCGAGCACTCTGGCAACTTCCTTGGAAACCAGACTTTTATTGTCACTTTCCCTCAACATGAACAATATCGCCCACTCCGGTTTAATTCCACTGTCTGTCTTTTCACACTCCGTTCACTCTCTCCAACCCGCTCATACTGACCTCTCGTCTACTACGCTCATAAGTCACACGCTCTCCCTCGACCACACCTCCAGCCACACATACACACACCATACGTACAGACTGCTCACCGGTTATTCACACATGTTCTACGCCATTCACGTAACACTACCCCCACTCTGGATGGCAATAACATGTTAATTCCTCTCCAGCATATTACCCAAATTAAGCAGATGCACAGTCCTCGTTTGTTCAGTCCAGATAAGAGGATCCAGGCTGCCATTACTGTAAAAGTCCATCAGGATATACCCCAGTAGTAAACACATAGCAGTCATAGCGAGTACTAGTATGCTAGAGGTGACTAAACAAAACCCTGAGAAATGCATTAATGGCACCCATCACACAGGGTGTAACTTAATCTGAGCTGTATTATAAGGCAATATGAGCTTAACTAAAACTACCAAACATCATCAAAGTTTCTTTCATAAACAATAAACACAGAGTAGGCAAGATACAGGTTTGAACATATAAGAAATAAAGCTATCATTTAACTTGACCACCACTAACATTATGGAATCCAAACTTTAAAGAACACTGTGGTGCTCAAACTCTCATTGTCCATAACAAAAATAATCAGTGGACCACCCATTCCCCAAACCTGTTAGGTGACCTCCGACGGCGTCCCTGCCTTTGAGAACGTTGGCTCTGGAGGTGGTGCTCCCAAACATTACCCCCACTATGCCAAAAGTCCACCGGGGAGGGAGACTCAGAGGGGGCCGTAATGGAGGGAAAGGAAGAGCTGCTCGCAGCGGGTGTCAGTGCTGTGTCGCTGGAACTTGGTCCATCTGCACTGCTGGGAAACAGTCCTGACAGGTTGACATCAGGGTCCACAGGATCTTCATTCAGAACAGGTGGTGTGATCTCCAAAGGGGTCCAGTTCCAGGCTTGTTCCACAGCCCAGGTGTTGTCCAAAGGGTCGCGGCAACGATAGTGTTTAAGCTGGTCATGATGGACTACTTTCACCTTGGTCCTTGGGCTCTTCTGAATGTGATAAACCAGGTCGTCCAGCTTCCCCACGATGAAATAGGGCCCTTCATACGAGGGAAGGAACTTTTTGACTCTGTCCCTGATCTTCCGTGTGCCTTTGATGAGATACCACACAGCATCACCAGTTTGATACTGTGTGCGGCAGCAGTTCTTGTCATATTGTCTTTTTGCATGTTTCACAGACTCACCAAGGGCATCCCTTGCGATAAGGTGTGCCAGCTCCAACCTCTCTCGAAGCTGCTGTACATACTCCGGGCCTGTAGGTGCACTGCCGGGGTCAGGAGGCAGGCCAGTCACAAGATCCACAGGTTCACTTAGTTCTTGGCCAAACATCATGAAATTGGGAGTGAAGCCAGTGGCGTTGTGTTTTGTAGCTCTGTAGGCCATAACAGCATACGGAATCATGAGATCCCAGTCCCAGTGGCAACGTTCAGCTGTGGTGGCTAGAGTCTTCTGTAACGTGGCATTAAACCTCTCCACCTGGCTGTCTGACTGTGGTCTGAATGGTGTAGTGTGTTTTCTCAATACCAAACAGACTGCACATTTCCTTGAACACTTCAGATTCAAAGTTGCGGCCTTGGTCACTATGCAGTGTCTGCGGTGCCCCATAACGGCACACCCACTGTAAGGCGAGTACTTCAGCTATGGTCACAGCCTGGTCGTTGGTCAGGGGGAAAGCTTCCAGCCACTTGGTAAAGTAGTCGCTGACCACAAGCACATACCGATTTCTCCATTCTGTCTCGTTCAGTGGGTCCATGATGTCTAGGGCCACATGTTCCATTGGTGCTCCCACTTGAACAGTTCCCATGGGGGCTTGAGGTGTCTTAAGGGGTCTGGCTTTGGATGCACAGCTGGTGCAGGTGCGGCACCAAAGAGCCACATCCTCCCTCATCCGGTACCAGCGATATCGGGTCTGTAGTCGTGTCACAGTGCGTCCCACGCCAAAATGTCCACCAACAGGTCCCTCATGCATCTGTCTCATGATGTCTGACTGGAGGCGGCGTGGCAGCACTATCTGTGGAGTGTCATCCAGGCAGTAGAACTGCCGGACTAATATTCCATCTCTGATGTAGAGCTGCTTCCACTGGCTCCAGTATGTCTTTGTGGCTGGACTACAAGGTGAAACTGTGACCCACTGAGGACGTTCCCTGCTATCCTCCATCCATGCTTTGATTGGTGATATGTCTGCGTCAGCCTCTTGGGCTTGGCGGAGCCCCTCTGTGGTCCAGCCCGAAAACAGTGAGGTCTCGTTTGTTCTAGTGAGGTAAACTTTCTCATTAGGCTTTAAATTGTTTGTGCTGGTAGGTAAGGTGTCACTTCCCCCCTCGGGGCTCACTGCTGCTGAAGCTGGGTGTCCTTCTACCCCCACCGGGCTCAACATCACAGTGTTCATGTCTGAGTCCAACTCACACTGAACAGCTTGGTGGCGTACTTTCCCTCGATGAGAAGGGGGAGCTGGCAGTTTACAGGGGCAGGACTGACGACAGGGCCTTCTGGATAGGCTATCAGCATTATGCAGGCAGCCAGGGCGGTGATTATTTCAAACTGATACTCGGCAAGTTTCTCGAGCCACCTGGCTAGCTGTCCTTCAGGCTCCTTCATTCTGGTTAGCCACCGCAAGCTGCGGTGGTCAGTTCTCACTGTGAAGGGCCACCCCAAGAGATACTGCCGGAACTGTGATGTGAACTCTACCACCGACAACAGCTCACGCCTGGTGGTACAGTAGTTCTGTTCAGTTTTTGATAGTTTACGACTCCCATGAGCCAGCACATGCTCCCTGCCCTTTTGCACCTGTGAGAGCACAGCACCGATGCCAACATCACTTGCATCAGTGTCCAGAATCATGTTGCCTTGGTCAAGTGGGTAACCCAAGACCGGAGCTGAAGTCAGTTGTTGTTTGAGTTCATCGAATGCAACCTGATGTTCTGCTGTCCACTGAAAACGTGCGTGTTTCTTCATTAAAGCATGGAGGGGCTCAGCTATGGTAGCAAAGTCTTTTACGAATCTCCTGTAATATGATGCAAGGCCAAGAAACCGCCTCACCTCTTGTAGGGATGTTGGGGTCGGCCAGTCCTGCACCTTCTGGACTTTGTTGGGATCTGTAGCCACGCCACACTCCGACACCAGATGGCCCAGCCTGGCGGCAGAAGAGGCAGCATTTTGCGGGTTTTAACTTTAGGTTAGCCTGGTGAAGTCGGTCGAAGACCTGGCTGAGCTGCTGCAGCATTTCTGGAACATCCCTGCCCAGCACAATAATATCATCCAAGTAGACCAGGCATGTCTCCCATTGCATACCAGCGAGGACCCTGTCCATCAACCGCTGGAATGTCGCTGGTGCATTGCACAGTCCGAATGGCATGACATTCCATTCAAACAGTCCATTTCGTGTGCAGAAAGCTGCTGCTCTTTGTGCTCTTGGGGTTAGCTCGACCTGCCAATAACCAGAAGCCAGATCCAGCGTGCTGAACCACTTAGCGGTTGAGAGAGTATCCAGAGTGTCTTGGATGCGAGGCAGGGGATATGCATCCTTAATGGTACACTCATTAAGGGCTCGATAGTTTATGCAGAGCCGGTATGTTCCGTCTTTCTTTCGCACCATTACTATGGGGAGGCCCAACTGCTGTGGCTACGGCGAGCCAGACCATCTACCAGGCTCTGGCTTACTTGTTGGTCAGCATCCTGTTGTTTCTCCCCTGCCATTCGACGTGGTGGCTGCTTAACCGGGGCCCCTGGCCGGGTAATGATGTCGTGCTGTACCAGGCCGGTGCGGCCAAGATCACTGGGCCGGTTTGAAAACACACTGCCATAAGTACACAACAGCTGTGTCAGCTGGAGCTGCTCTTCACAGGTTAGTTCAGTCGAGCTCTGTGTATAAAGTTCCTGTAGATGCCGAGGGATTGCGGGGGTGCTGTTTGCTGAGATGGGGTTGTACTAGAGGTTTGCAGGGCTTTTACAGGCTGGAGAACCCCTGCAATGGCCCCCTCTTTGATGGTTACAGCCGTGGTCCCCGGATTGAAGATTCGGAGAGGGACAGTGTTGGAGAGCGAAGCGTCCACCAGGACTCTTGCTACTAGCACTTTGTGTTTTTCAACAAAACCTTTGGTGGGGCTCAGTGCCATATCTCCTCTCATGAGCCCTCTGAAGCGGGTGTTTCCCCTGACCACATATTCCTGTCCAGCTTCCAGCACCACCGTCCGGGCCACTCTCACCGCATGTGCTTTTATCGTGTGTTGTACGCTGAAATATGGTACTTCCTCACCAAAAAGCACAATGCGTTGGTTGCCAAAATCAAGACGTGCTTGGGCCTGAGTCAGGAAAGGGTGGCCCAAGAGAGCTTCGTCACTGGCTATATCAGCAATCAGAAAGTGCACGCTCACCTGGCGGTTGTTAATTTGGATGGGGATGTGTGTTTCGCCAAGTACAGGCACATTGCCAGGCCCAACCCCCAGCAGGGTATCCACAGTCGAAGGCTGGAGTGGGGGTCGGATGTCAGGGTGGATAGCGTTGTAATGACGTAGAGGCAATACACTCCTCCGGGCTCCAGTGTCCAACACAGCACACACCTCTAGGTC